TGAGCTTCACGTGTACAAAATATATGTATCTATAGTAAATTCAAAATATAGTATGAATGGTAGTTTTTTTTTATTTTTCACTTTTGCATGACGATCTCTGGGTACGCTAAGTACACAAACAAGTCACTATAAATAAAATGAGAAACAGGAAAAACACATTGTAAAAATATTCATATTTATTATCATAAATTTCGCAATGATGTTGATGTCTTCTTCCCTGAACTAATCAATGATCTGCTGATTTGACGTGAAATTTGAACGCTCTCAAAACCCAATGTTGAATGAGGTCATAAATTTTATTGTTTTCAGAACAAGGAAGCTGAGGTAGCCCTTTCGAAAGTGGAAGTGCGAATGGAATGAACTGTCCGTTAAAATAACGTTGACGAAAGTTTAAGCAGTATTTAAGGGAACAGTCTCTGTTTTCACATCCCGATATGTAAGAAGCTTAACTTAAGCTTACAAGACAAATATTACAAATAAACTATGACTGAATGTCTTTACCGTAGCTAGCGGTAGCTCCCTTTGTGCTAAATGTGATATCAAAACAGCGTTTCCTAATCATAATATGTTCAATCCTAATCTGATCCTTAAACCATCAAACCTCAGCTGAATTTTCTTCAACTTGCTAACAGCCCGCCACGTTGCGTAAAACAAAAGAAAATATTTTTCCTTGAAAACGCATGCGCAAACAACTATTATTATTTTCTCTAGGGAGGGTTCGGTATGTTAAATCTATTTCTTTGTCTGACTAGCTACTACCCCGTAAGATAAATTTAGATCGAATGCATCATGGGGTCGATATCATGTCACGTGGTGTGTTCTGCATCGTGGAGGCGTAGAAGTCTTAGCTGCGCCCCAAAGCAGCTCGAGAACGGGCGCCATAACGAGCGGGGAGAAAATATGCGGTCGTTCTCGCAAACGAAAGCTTTTCAAAACCAACTAATAACCCAAAACAACACATAACACTTTGCCAAACACAATGGTGAACTTAGTTTTTGTTGTCGATACCTCTGCTTCTATGAATCAGAGAACGTCCCTCGGTACTACTTTACTAGATGTCGCCAAAAATGCCGTGGAAACTTTTATTAAGGTAAAGAAAAATCAATTCTGTGCAAAGGGCCGTATTGAAAGACTGTGAATCAAAGTATTTATAGGGTAAATTGTCTTTTATACAGATCAGACAACGAGATGAGGCGAGTCGAACTGATCGATTAATGCTTGTGACGTTAGACGAGCCGCCTGGTTCCGTCAAGGTGAGGTTGAAATGCGTGCATTGTTTAAGCGTCCTCTGGACAACATTTCTGTGAAAATTTTTCATCGATGCCAAGCAAAGACGTATATAAACGTAAATTGCCAGTTTTTTGCATCCACTTCATTTGTTTTTGGGTAAATTTGCCAAGTTTTAGCTTCTTTGAAACGAAAGCTTGCAGATCGCTACCTTTGTTTCGTCATGTAGATGAGGTCCGCTAAGGCTCATGGTCTGTGTTATTGGATGGCTATTTACGTGATAGAACATAGCTTTTCATTGGCGAATGCCATATTTTCATAGAAGAGAGTATTTGATTGGCGGATTAAAATGAATTGGTCCGGTAAATAAAATTTTTCAAGTGTTTGTCACTTTTTATTTTTAAAATAAATATTAATAGTTTCTAGATCAAAATGTACTTATGAGTACTAAATATATAATACTTACTATTAAAATTCTTTTATTTTCAATTTTTAAATAAATTAACATAATCTGACATAAACTTTAATCTTTGACACAAGTTTTGTTTCTATATTCCTTGATATTTGATCTTTCGTTTCCAGGTTGGATGGGGAACTAATGCAACTCAGCAAGTATTTTCAAATGAATTAAGAAACCTTCAAGCAACAGGTCTTTCTACATTGGGATCTGCTCTGAAAGAAAGCTTTGACTTGCTAAATTTATATCGCTTACAATCAGGAATAGACAATTATGGATTGGTAAGAAATTCCTTATCAAGCATTTTTTAACTAGTTGAATATAGTTCTTGCCTGATGATATAAGAATATAGGTTTTCCACGTTTTAGCATAATTTAGTTGAGTTGGCACTTTTCTGGGCTATTCAGATTCTAAGCAGGTTCTTATGTTTATAAGAGAGATATGATACCAAAGACTGATAACTGGGTGGTATTATATGTACATTAATTTATGCCAAAATGCCCCGGTCTTTGAACAGTATGCTTGGGTTATGGCTTTTATATTTTTTTTTTATTCATTTATTTTCATCTTCTAAATAAGAGCCCATTTCTGGTATTAGGCTGTTTTTTAGGCTGTTTTTTTAGGCTTCTAGATTAGTAATACAAAGTGTGTCTGAATTGTCTTTCATCATTATTTTATTTTATGGATTATGTAATTTGTCTGAAGATTTTTCATTTTTTTTAAAAATAAGAAACTGTTGTAAGTCTTGTTCTAGATAGACTCTTTATAAAAGTGTGTTTAAATTGATATCTAAATTATTTGGTAAAAGACTCTTAAATTTTATGTTCAGCTGTGCATGGTAAAATATATCAGTGGGAAATGTTTTCAAGTCAAAAGGGTTGTGWTCACAATTTTGGRTTTCTTWTCTATAGTGTGACAATTTTTATGGGTTAGGGTTGGGAAATGGTCACTTGTCATGTGATTAATAATATGCTGCATTCATCATATTTATTACTTTTGTTTTATTATTGAGTATTTATATTTACTTGTTATAGGGACGTAAACCTTTTTATGTGGATCCGGCAATTGTTATATGTATCACAGATGGCAGTAGTCTAGTAACTAAAAACGACATTGAAAGAGAGGTATGAATCAGTAGTTTATCAAATTGATAATTGTTGCTGATATAAATTAGCATCATTCACAAAGAACTTTTAGAGTTTATGAAAATTTTGCAAGGTTAAGTTTTCATTTGCCCAAATGTTGTGATTAGTTTTACAATTTCCAATCATCATTGAATTAAAGTCATAAAAAGTTAAAATATTCAAATACAGTGATACCTTTATAAGAAGGACTGTCTTGGGACTTCCATTGGGCTGTAAATGAGTTATTGTTTGCTTTTATAATGTATTCACTCATAAAAATCACTACATAAATGTATTCTAACTTGGCAATACAATTCTTTTCTAGCTTCACTTACCAATGCATAGTAATCTACCAGGAAGTGACCTCACYAAGGAGCCTTTTCGATGGGACCAGAGACTGTTTGGATTAGTTTTAAGAATGGGTGGTTGCCGTGGGGGACCAAAAGGAGTGAATCCTTGTCTCAGTGCTGAGCCAGCCCTTGGGGCCATGTGTGATGTTACAGGAGGTACATATGATTGTTGATAGTTTATTTCCACACCTTTTTTATCATTTTCAAAATGTGCAACAGCTGTTACTGTATGATAGATTATTTACAAAAACATTATTATTTGCCTGATGTAAATTTATTAAAGGTGTATTGCCTCACAACTTGGCCTTTTCCAGTTCCAATGTTAAATGCCTTATAATGCATGAACAACTTAGCAGAAACAAATGAACACTGTTTTTTTTCCCAATACTCTCTTACATGTCTGTATGATAATGAGGCTAACCCTGTTAAATAAAAATGCAAAAGAGAATACATTTGATCTTATCTTATGCTTTTTTCTTATTTAGGAAAATGTTATAAAGCCTCATCCTCAAAGTCCCTAAARCAGGCCCTTGAATCAATTGCTCAGAAAATCCAATGTGGAATTGTTGTCAACTTTGAAAAAATAGGAGGACCAGACACTTCTTCTAATTTGGTTGATGGTAAAATATACTTTTTCCTCTCTAAATTGAACCAAGCATGTAATTTCTCTGTCTCTAATGTTTATAAATAGATATAATTATTATATTATATTTCATTTTTATTTGCTATATACTAGTATTTCCATGGTTAACATTTGCCATTTCAATGTTATTAGCTGTTAGAAACAACGCTATGAGAGAAACAGATTCCCCCACCCCACCCCCAAGTGTTAACAACCAGCATAATGGCAATGGTGTTGAAGGAGGAGAGCATAAAAACAAACAAATGGAAAATGCTGAAAATTGCCATCCAGTCATAAAAACAGAAGGCATTTCAACCAGGTAAATTTTTATTTATGCTTTGTTAGTCTGTGTTTTGAGGATTGTAAAAATACTAGTGAGATTGCCTGCATTTGTATGTTTTTATTTTATATCGTATCAACTTTATTGTAACCTTGAGTTGATGCTCTGTAATGCAGTTGGTATTTCTATTTTTCTCTATAATTTCTCTGAGTTTTCAAAAGCATTATAACTCTCAATGTTCCTTTGCTGGTTCTCATTAAAAAATTTGTTGATTTATGTGTGAATTATACATGGATGCTTATTTCTTTACTCTTCAGTGGAGTCTCTACACCTTCGTTACCCCAGCGTGGTGATTCCATGGCATTATCTCCTGTTATTAATGGTCTTCAAGATGAAGCAGTAGCAATGCCCAACGGAATTTCAAGGTCTGCAACAGCATCACCTATACCACAGGCAACCCAGCCCGCTGCATGGACGAGTTGCTGTAAGATGATTTATATAACAAGAAAGATGTATATCGAGAGAGACATAGTGCCTACTGGCTATTGGCCAATACCAGAGACGTTTTGGCCTGATCCTTCTATGACAAAACTTGTAAGTAATAGATTGTGTGGTGCTTATGGCAATTCTAACATCAGAATTCTGAAACATTTCAATGCAGAATTATGGGATTTTTCATACATCAAATCATTTCAGACRAGTATTAATACTTGACTCATTTTCAGCCTCCAAGGGATGCTCAGCCTACAATCTTCTTCTCCTGTGTGGACTCAGAACCTCATTTAGTAGAAAACCTACCATTTGACAAATATGAGCTTGAACCATCACCACTGACCCAATATATACTAGAGAGAAAATCTCCATCGACTTGTTGGCAGGTTAGAATGAGTGATATATTTGTACCAACTCTTGTAATCAAGTCCAAAGTGTCAAGAATGGATGAGTGTTCTCTGGTTGTATACAATTAGAAATTCCTTATTGAAACACCTCTATCGTAGCAAGTTTGATCATGACAGATCTAAATATAACTCCCTACTTGTGTTGTTGTTTTTTACAAGAATTGCAGTCATTCCAGCGAAATGTAATTATTGGATGATTTACACATAATGTTACTGCTAATATGCTAAAACTATATTATTTGAAAATGTGTTGTAGTTCACCAAGATAATTATAGTAGCAACTTAGTGTTTACYTGTCTTTCATTTTGCTGATAGAGTGCTTCCAGTAAAATCTTGAAACACTATAATTACTAAATTGTTCAAATTAGTGCTAGTTGAACAAAAGAAGAGCATAAAATAGTACAAATGGTATAACTGTTCTTTACACTTACTACATTGATCACTCTAGTGGAGAAATAAATTTGTGGTTACAGTGAGTGCAAATCATTTATATAATATTATATTGTTTTTTTTCTTCAGACATTCATATACAGTAGTGGAAGAAAAAGCGATAAAGTTGGTGATTTTGGATGCCCATTTGGCTATCTAAAGGCCAGTACCAACCTCCAGTCTGTCAATCTTTTTGTTCTTCCCTACAATTATCCACTATTATTTCCTCTTCTTGGTGAGTAAAATAATACTAGAATGGTTTCGTTATACTCAGACAGGTCTCAGTAGTCTGTTTATTTCTTCCTGTTGCTTTGTGGTTTGTTTGGTTGGAGAGCAATGGCGGAGGAATCCTCTCCAACTTGACTAAGTACGCTCAGTGACAATTGTTTGCTTATCAAGAGGGCAATGAATGATAAATGGATTTAAGCATCATAATTGTGATTATTTATGTGAACACTGGTTGATAAAACCTTCAACCTCTGCAGGATGCTTAAATTGATGGCTCCTTCCTACAGAGCCTTCCAGCTGCCTGATCCACCTCTACATATATTCATAAGAGGTTGGTTTGTAGGAACATTAAGCAGAATTAACATCACATTCAATGGCTATTGATAGTGAGGCATATGACACAGGCATTGGTATATAAGTATAGCATTTTAAGCTAAAATCTGTTGAGGATTGTGTAGGGCAGATACAGTGTGACTGATTGCATAACTCAGCAACCAAAGTCCATTGAAACATWTTATCAATAAGAAAGAAAAAAGCGAATAAATGTTTGGCATTTTCTTTCATTGAATTCAATTGAATTTGGCGCYGCTGAGGCTGTTTTGTAGTTACTGCTTGATTCTGCCACACTYTAACTTCAATATTGTTTTACTAATAAATTTATGTTTTATTTTGTTAAAAAAAGAAAAATCATTTATCTGTCATTTCAATTTTTTGTAGATGAACTTATCAAAGTCCACAAACTCAAGCCAGTTCTTAAATGGAAGCAAACCTTTGAGTCGTACTTGGCCACAATGCCAAGCTACTACGCTGCTGTGAGTATAAATTGTAATTTACGGCATAACAGCATCATAGTCATCTGTTGTCTAATCAATTCTATTTAGTAGTTATTTGTAATATCTGTTCCATATCCACCATATAAAGCCATAATAATATATCTGTTGGATAGCATCAAAAAACAATGTCAATAACAATTGAATGTCTCAAGGTACACTGTGAGGCAGCCTTGTTCGTTTTTTTGGTTTATTTTATCTTAAAAACATGTTTGATAGATTTTGCTATTCATTTCTTTACAGCCTCTACGGAATGCATTCAGGAAAATGGGAATCCCTACATCATTAGTTCCAGACCACTTAGATGGATCACTTGGTTATAGTGTAGTGAACTATCTCAAAAGTGTCAAACAACAGGTACGTAGCTTAACTTTGATATTGCATACTAAGGTTAGGGGCAATGCACTYATTATTATTTGAACATATTAGGAATGTGGACATTTTGCAAGGTTCCTTACCTTCCATTATTCTTCTTTTTCTTTCTTCAAATGTAGTTATGCACCTTTTCTACTTGTTCATTTTTTATATACAAAACTGGACAATTAACATTTCAATTTTATTATATTGTATATATTATTTGTCATCCATTATTTGTTATTGGTTTTCAACTGAAGTGCTGTTTTGTTCAATTTCAGAGTAAGCTTGAAGCCAAGAGATTTGAGGCTGGTGTTGGTAAATCCATTGCATCGACCCCAAACAAAATAATACCTAGGTAAATTGACTCTTGATACTTAATTAGTATGTGATAGCAAATATGATAATGCCAGATATTCATATCCGTGAATCTTTCTTGTCTTAATATGTTTTAGCATTCAAACACCTGAGCTGCCGTCAACAGACAAGAAGGATTTCCATATGCTACTCAATCATGGTTTAGTGAACAAACCAAAGAATGTTTCAAGACATAACAAGTATGTGTTGATAATGTTTGCAAGTATTGTGGATTAATAAGAGAGAGTTTTGACGTGACAATGATATTGCGACTGTGGCATAAGAGTATTTTGTATAATTATTGAAATAACTGTTGGTGGTCTTATGCCTGTTTCCAATTTGCTGCAATGGTTGCAATAATTTTTGGTGATTGTTTTCTATGATATGAAAATGATATTTTGTGACAGTAATTATCAATGATCATAATTAGTCTGTTTATGAATGTTGTAAGTGACATTCAAGTCTTGTGATATTGATACTGACAATATTTATTGTTATTAATTGTTAAAAATTTAATGCTTGAAATAGCACTTCTGATATTCAGACAAGCATGGTTATAACTGAGATGGGCCTTTTTTACAGCAATATTATAGTACCAAGAAACAGACTTTGCTTGTAATATTATTAATATTAAAAATATGTTCAGGAGTTGCAAAATGCTAATAAGCCACCTGTTTTCTGTTTAATTGTGCATAATTTTAAAGTGTTCATTTACTTAAAGCTCTTTTATTTTCTTTCTTTTTGTTAGTGATAATGAGTTAAGCACACATGAAGCAGTACAAGGGATGAAAGAAGTCAATGTATGTGGTTTTTCTTACAGGCTTAAACAGTTATTGTTGTATATCCTATATTTTATTTGATAAACAATAAAATGTTTACTAACACAGCTGATAATATAAAGTTATGATTGGGCTATAAGCTAAGTGTTCCAGTTACATTTCAAAAGTTTGCAGTCATTGATAATCCTAACTGATCCAAATATTTCAAAAAATTGTTTTGTTACTTCTTAGATAGCAAGGTTATTAGGTACATATTTTATGTATTGCTTCCTCAGATTATTAATGGTCCATTTGAATAATGATGCTGTTATGTAGTAGTACCTATTAATAGTGTAACTTGACTTACCATGAGTCTTATTTGTTTATAGGTGACGCAACCTCAAAGCTACAAAAATCCATTTGACATAAACAGAAATGAGCTGTTAGATCAGCTGTCAAGAATGCGGATAAATTTCTTTCATATGGCTGCAACATCGACTATCTTACAAGATGAAGGTCAGAAAAGGTTCTTCTCATTCACAAAATGACAAATGCAATTGTTAGATGTCTGTCTGCTTATTTTCAGATGCAAGACACACTGTTGCTATTGCTGAGATGGGAAACTATGGTAAAGTACTTCGACAAAGTAATCAACTCAGAGAAATCGATCCAGGCCAAAATAGGGCTCATATGTTTGGAAATCCCTACAAGCTTGCAAAAGATCAGGTACATTGTACAATTGTAAAGTTACAGTCCTTTTATAAGCATCAGTTCAGTTATTGGACAAAGCTTTTTTTTAATGTTGCTGTAGAAAAACTGAATTGGATGTTAAATTGATGGCAGACATTTGCAGCATTTTCTTTTATAGAGTGTAATCTAGTATGCAAAAGGTCTGTTTTCCAGTATTTTGTTGGAATAACTCTTTGCATTAATAAACTGTTTTTTCAGCGAGTAATGGTGGATGAAGCCGATGTAAACGAGGCTGCAAGAKGAAAACGACCAGACACACCACCGGTAAAATGGCCAACTTCAATTCGCCATGATAGTCCAAGTCCAACGCCACACCATTATAGGCCGTTATGTCAAGAAGAAGGGCAAAATCACAAACCTGTACAACTTAAAGACACCAAAGATAATATATCGAATGACTTGAAAACAAATAATGTATTACAGTCTCATCACAGAAAGCGAAAATCTTCAGATGACATTTCAGGTTTAGAAGGTGGAGCTAAACCTTTAAAAACAGCAAAACATAATATTCATCCTCAACTTAAGAAACTTCAAAGACTTCATCAAATCAAAGGACAGAACCACAAAAAGGTTTCAGGGACTTCTAATTCAACTGRCAGGAAGAATTTGCAAGTTAATAATACTGAAAAAGAACAGGAAGTGTCTGATATTTCTTCAATACTTAGAAATGCTTTAACACCTCGAACAGAAGCGGATAAAATCACTCAAATAAACAATTCACACATGGATGGGCTTTTGATAGCTAATGATGTAGGTAGTCAGAATAGCACCCCAAGTTCGTCACCAAGTACTGTATCTAGAAGGCAACTTCTACGAGAGGCACATGAAGAGAATACTCAAATTAGGATAACTGTYTTTAAAGAACTGAGAAGTCCCACCTGTGGTGAGTAATTTGTTTACAGCATACCTTCTATGAAWGTTAACACAAGGGGCTGTAATGTGTTGTCTGATAATGGGCCAAAGGTGACAAATTAGTGCATGTGGAAATATGGTAATAGTCAGGTCACAGAATTAAAGGCAAAATTATTATATTTTACATGTTTTCTCAAATAAATTTCTTTTTGTAGTTGATGAACTAGTTCTGGCTCAGCTTACCAATCTCAAGGGTCCAGTTGATGTACAGTGCAGTTYTCTTAACGATATCATTGAAGAAGCACAACTTTTCAAAAAGAGGATTCTGGTCTTAAAAATCAAGTCTGTCCTTAAAAAGCTCAAAGCTGGACTTTCTTCTCCAGTAAACAATCACTTGAAAGCCAAGTAACTTGTAATAGATGAATATTTGCCACTGTGTGGCAGTAATTTCACAGCCCGTGTACATTGTGTAAAAAGATATTTCTATTACAAAATACATTACCAAAGCTGTAAATAGTTTTGTTAATAAAGAACCAAAAAGTGGATTTCTTATGAAATCTTCAGAGTTGTTTTGGGCTAGTAAGGGACAACCAAATGGGGGGAAAAACTGTRGTTTTCCAGTTTTGAATAGTTATCCACTTAATAGATTTTTGTTATATCCACATGATAAGAATTTATCTGGTGGATAGCACTGTTCATCTAGACCTAGAACTTCATGAAATTTGCATGACTATAACAGTGTGTACTATTACATAAAGAACAACATAAAACATATGATAGACAATTGGTTTTTGGTTTGAAGTTTACTGATTCCCATAAGTCTTACTATTTTTTTAGCAGTTAAAGGAAAAGCACCCTATTGTAAATTACAGGGAATAAAGGAAGTTTGAAATATAGCAAAGGTAGATGACAGTAACCTTTCAATTTAGTGTAGTGATCTCAAGGCCTGTTGTCATTTTCCATATATAGACTTGCATAAAGTCTTTTTTTAACACTCTTGAGCGACAACATCCTGAACGAATGTTCTGAAGAGTTGCCTAAGATTATGGCGAGAGAAGCTTGATGTGTTTCTCACCATCAACTTCAGAACATCTTGAAAATATTTGTTGTCCATCATTGTTCCAAAATATCACACTTTGGTAGCAGACATTTTTTTAGATCTCTTTTTTTAAGAAGTTAAAACTTTCTTGCACAAAGTAGCAACAAAGTAATTTATATAAATTCTTAAAATATAAATATGTTGATATTATGCTTTTCTGAGGATTCAATATAAGCCTCATAACTTCATTTAATAAGTGATTTATTTCCATCTGTGTTCCCAACATGACATGCGAGAATACAAGTCYAAAGCATGCTCAAAATGGATATTGGGTATCTCTTCTTCTTCATCAAMCAAGCTAAATTCAAATTTTGCATTTTCTTCTTCAAAATCATCAGAAAAGAAGTCCATTATTTGAGGTTCATTATCCTGTGATTTAGTAACTTTCGGCTTGAAAGGTACCCTCTGCTGAGTGCGGGAGTAGATGACATCATTGGGGACTAAATCGAGAGAGATCAAATCGGTGTACTTTTTTTGGTCCTTTCGCACATTCACTGCAGAAGCGACTTTCTCAGCCAAAGCTGTCCTGGCTGTTTCAGAGTTTTGGAGCTCTTCRGCAATGGCTACTGCAGGATTAAATTTGGTGCTCTGGAGTTCTTGGAGCTTAAGACTTATTCTTGCAGATGAATTTATCGCTGGCTGGACYAGGCAACTTGACCTGAGGTAAAAAAGCGCGAAAAATTAGCGTGATAACAACAGCTTGTTTTCAAGGCTTAAAGAGCTCATTTCCTTTTCTGCATTCTAATAAAACCTTTTATAATTACCTTGGTATGTGTTCCGTACCCTCGTGGTTTTCTATAAGAACAGGAACTGATAGTTTTTTGGGACTTTTTGTTTTTGGTTTGCGCGATTCGTTTGGCTTGGGTCGTCGTTTCTCCGGTGTTAAATTCAAATCCGAACTAAATATGGATTCAACATGTYCTGGRCTTTCTGKTGGCTTGGGTACCATTCTTATTAACTCTTCGTTCATGATGAAAGCTATGTCCAAAGTCTACAGAATCTAGTGATCAGTTTGACTGAAAGTTTTTATCTGCCCCGCCATTTCGTACTTCTCATCCAAGGCTCATTTCGTCCTATGTGACACAGGAAGCCCAACTAGTATTAATTATTATGCATAGACGTCCACATTGTATATAATAGTCGAGTTTCGCGATCTCTTTTACGCTGTGTTAGCCTCAATTGTGTTCTAAAATATTCAGAAATGTAGATAAAACTCGTGATCATTTCAAACTATTTCCATTGTCTTCTACACTCACAGATCTCTTGCATTTTCACGGGCTGTTGTGAATAAAAGAATATATTACATGGTTTTGAGGCTAACACAGCGTAAAAAAGATCGCTAAAAGGGTTTATTCAACCATTGTAAACAGTCATTTTGTAGATAGTCTTTTTGTATCTCTCAGATATGTTGAGTGAAATTACTTTTATTTCCATAAATACAAAATTTCTATTATCTAGACTGATGCACCACGATTATTCCAAACTGAGAACATATTTGCAAAAGCATTTCCGTCAAGTTTGAAGATAAAAGAGAAGATTAGGCAAAAATTGGTAATTAGCTATTATTTGACTTCAGGATTGATATAAATCACATTAACAATAGTTGCAGTGACCAAAGTGCTTCTTTGGATGTACTTCACAGCAAACAACAATATATATAAGTTTTATTTTTTATAAAACACATTCTGTAAATTTAATATTTTATATTTTTCCTATCCTTTCTAATGAACACACTAAAAGAGCATAGCCTACAGTTTCTAGTGAATACACTAATATTTACTAAAGCTGTACAGTATAGTATCTTCGATGATGTACAAAATAATGAATGCAAGAATTGCTTTCTAAGCCAGTTTATTCGCACTTGCATTAATTTTGCTATTTATAAATCCTAAAATCTTTCTYACATCTAGGTACACTCCATACTTGTAAGGTCTMGCACAWCCAATGCCCCAACTCACCACCCCAGTGAGAACATATTGTCCATCCTTATTGGGGCATGCAA